TACAATACAATACAAAAACACTACATTACACTAAAACATTAAACTAACAAAACCAAACAAAAACAATTTAAAACACATCAAACAATTTCAGTATCTTATCTTTCATTCACTTATTTCAACGACCTCCTCACACCTCCCTTTTTGTCGTCCACTTCTGTTAATTGTTTCAGCAATTCCTTTCCATCTTCCTCTGTTTTCTATCCTATAATTATCTTAACACATTCTAACCTTATTTTTCCTTTAATATTCTATTAATCTATTTATACTTAATTCCTTATAACATTTCTACTAAAGCCATATAACTTCATTCCAACATTCTTCTAACATTCATTAATTTTACAGTATTTCTGTAAATAGTCTTTAAACTTTTTCCAGTCTTCTTCCACCGACTCTTCTCCCTGGTCTCGGATTCTGCCAGTCATTTCCGCCAATTCCATGTAGTCCATCAACTTCATCTGCCATTCTTCCCGGGTGGGTAAATCTTGTGTCTTCCAATACTTCGCGATGAGTATTCTTGCTGCTGCTGTTGTTGCATACATAAAAAAAGTTCTATCCTTCTTTAGCACCAATTGGCTGACCATGCCCAGGAGAAAGGCCTCTGGTTTCTTCAGGAAGGTATATTTGAATACCTTTTTCATTTCATTATAAATCATCTCCCAGAATGTCTTAATCCTTGGGCATGTCCACCAAAGGTGAAAGAATGTGCATTTCCTCCTCGCTAGGATGCAACGATTTCTGCTGAGGATCGTGTCCACGCCCCGAGTCCTTGGGGTGGGTGGGGTGGTCAGGGGTGGCCCAAGACGCCCCCATTGCCATCCCCACAACTGGGGGGGGCGAGGTTCTGCAAGGGCACTCTCCTCTCACAAAACTTGGTGCCAAAACTTGTGGCGCTTTTCCAGTGAAGGCGGTGAAGGTCCTGTGTGAGTGCCTGGAGGCAGTTGGAGGATGGATGGCAGCTAACAGATTGAGGTTGAATCCTGACAAGAGAGAAGTAGGGTTTTCGGGGGATGGGGGCGGGCGGGTGTGGAGAACTCCCTGGTCTTCAATGGGGTCACTGTGCCCCTGAAGGACCAGGTGCGCAGCCTGGGGGTCATTTTGGACTCACAGCTGTCCATGGAGGCGCAGGTTAATTCTGTGTCCAGGGCGGCTGTCTACCAGCTCAACCTGGTATGCAGGATGAGACCCTCCCTGCCCGCAGACTGTCTTGCCAGAGTGGTGCATGCTCTGGTTATCTCCTGCTTGGACTACTGCAATGCGCTCTGTGTGGGACTACCTTTGAAGGTGACCCGGAAACTACAATTAATCCAGAATGCGGCAGCTAGACTGGTGACTGGGAATGGCCACTGGGACCACATAACACCAGTCCTGAGAGATCTGCATTGGCTCCCAGTACGTTTCCAAGCACAATTCAAAGTGTTGGTGCTGACCTTGAAAGCCCTAAATGGCCTTGGCCCAGTATACCTGAAGGAGCGTCTCCACCCCCATCGTTCTGCCCGGACGCTGAGGTCCAGCGCTGAGGGCCTTCTGGCGGTTCCCTCATTGCGAGAAGTGAGGTTACAGGGAACCAGGCAGAGGGCCTTCTCGGTAGTGGCGCCCGCCCTGTGGAACGCCCTCCCAGCAGATGTGAAGGAAATAAGCAGCTATCCTATCTTTAAAAGACATCTGAAGGCAGCCCTGTTTAGGGAAGTTTTTAATGTTTAATGCTGTATTGTTTTTAACACTTTAATGGGAGCCGCCTGGGGTGGCTGGGGAAACTCAGCCAGATGCGCAGGGTATAAATAATAAATTATTATTATTATTATTATTATTATTATTATTATTATTATTATTATTATTATTTCCAGAGGTTATTATTTCAGGAAGATTCTGCTGCCCGATGCAGCTGCTTCACCCTGCCTCATCTGTGGGCCGGCACTGGGTGCAAGGTTTCAGACAGGGGGTGTTCCTAGCCTTGCCTGGGGGTGGCAGGGAATGAGCCTGGGACATTCTGCAGGCAAAGCAGCCCCCCAATAAAGCAAGATTCTAGTCCTCATCGTCCTGCCTAAAGGGCTGGTTGAAACAGAGATACAGGGCTCAGTGCCATCGGGATTGACAGGGTCCTTCTCAGTCCTACCTGGAGACGCCCAGGATTTGAACCCAGACCTTCTACTTGCCAAACAGGGGCTCTACCACCGAGAAAAATCGCTCTCCCTTGTAATGTTGCCCCTGGGCACTAGACCAAGTGATAGCTCGGTCAGCAGAGCTTGAGGCTCTCAGGGTCGTGGCATTCGAGCCCCACATTGGGCAAAAGATTTCTGCAACACAGCGGGTTGGGCTAGATGACCCCTGGGGTTCCTTCCAACTCTACAATGCTATGATATAAGTGCTGACTAGCATGTATTTCTTTTTTTTAACAACAAAAAAGATCAAGCTGCTTTTTTCTAATTTATCTTCAGCCGGGATTATTGCAGTCTTTTGCGATGCAATTTGAAAACATATTACACTTGGTTGGTATCTGCGTCTCAGGGAGCGAGAGGGAGGAGGAGGGACGGAGACGAATGAATGATCTTTAAAACTAGGAGAACATGGAGGGAAGTCGGTAGGTAAAGTTTTAATACAGGCCTTCCTTGTTTGTGTTTTTTCCCCAATTGGGGTGCAGGATTGTCAGGTTAGGAGCATCCAAGCCCTGAGTTTCGGAGCCCAAACCTGGGACCAGCCCCTGGCGATGTCTCAGGCCCTGGAGATAGAATCATAGAACTTTAGAGTTTGAAGGGACGGGGAAGATCCGCAACAAAAAATCAGCGCAACAAACTGTTTCTTTTCTTTTTTCCAATTTTTTTTATTAGTTTTCACAATATTATAAACAAACACACACACACACACACACACAAGACAAACAAACATAAATCATAGCCTTATTGAAAATTACACTTATTAACTTTGTTAAGTGACTTCCTCGCTTCCTCTTGGTTGAATTTCATTGCATGTCCTTTTAGCGGTTTTCCAAATCCCAATTCTTATGAAGTTTAACTTAAACATTAACATCCTTAAATCTTCACCTTATGGAATTAAACATATTAATTCATCACTTAACATAAATAAAATCCTAGGCCAATTAAATATCTGCAAGCTGTTTTCAGTTAATTTAACTTAACAAATTTAACTAGATAATCATTAAATTTATTCCACTCTTCCTGATACTCCTCCTCCTTCTGGTCTTCCGGTTAAGTCGGCTAGCTCCGAAAAATCCATCATCTTCCTCTGCCATTCTTCTATCTTTGGTAATTCTTGGGTTTTCCACTTTTTAGTGGAAAACAAACTGTTTCAAAAGGACCGGAGCAAATTTACTGTATTTTTTGCTCTATAAGATTCACTTTTTCCCTCCTAAAAAGTAAGGGGAAATGTGTGTGAGTCTTATGGAGCGAATGCAGGCTGCGCAGCGATCCCAGAAGCCAGAACAGCAAGAGGGATTGCTGCTTTCACTGCGCAGAGATCCCTCTTGCTGTTCTGGCTTCTGAGATTCAGAATATTTTTTTTCTTGTTTTCCTCCTCCAAAAACTAGGTGCGTCTTGTGGTCTGGTGCGTCTTATAGAGCGAAAAATACGGTATATTATATATGAAAGAGCATTGTAAACATCTGAATACGTTTGTAGGTTTGAGTTGAAATGTTCTGTAATGTGAACACAAGGAACTGATTTACATTGAATGAGGGGAAATACAAAAAGGTAAAAAAGTGGTCATAAAAATGCTAAGAATTAAGTAATTCTGTTTGGAAGTCAGAAAGGGGGGCAGGGGAAGGTCGATGCTCAGTTTGAGCAATGCTTGTGGTTATGGAATTATGTAATGGAACTGTGATTATGATAAAATTGAAAAATTAATGAAAATTAATTTTTGGAAGGGACCCTGAGGGTCACCCAGTCCAACCCCTTGCAACACAGGAATCTCTTGCCCAATGTGGGGCTTGAACCCACAACCTGGGGATTTAGAGCCTCGTGCTCTACCGATTGAGCTATCCCAGCTCATGAAGGGTAACTGGGAGAGGGGAGGGGAGCGTGCAGGTTCGTCCGCCAAGTTATCCTGCGTTTGTGACAGCACAGCTCTGGTTCCCTGCAGATGCTGGTTGTCCAAAACCAGAGCACCCAATTATTTAGTTATTTGCTGAGAACACTGGCAGTTGTAAACTGGGAGACCTTTTAAGCTGAAGAGCAATGTGGCTGATGTGCAGTCACAACTAGGTAGCCTTAGACTGTAGAAGGCATGGCACAAAAGGAAAAGGGGACAGGGAGGGAAAAGGAAAGGTATATATTTCTGTAAAGGGACCCCTGACCATCAGGTCCAGTCACGGACGACTCTGGGGTTGCGGTGCTCATCTCACTTTAGTGGCCGAGGGAGCCGGCGTACGGGTCATGTGGCCAGCAGGACTAAGCCACTTCTGGCGAACCAGAGCAGTGCACAGAAACGCCGTTTACTTTCCCGCCGGAGCGGTACCTATTTATCTACTTGTACTTTGACGTGCTTTCGAACTGCTAGGTTGGCAGGAGCAGGGACCGAGCAACGGGAGCTCACCCCGTCGCAGGGATTCAAACCATCGACCTTCTGATCGGCAAGTCCTAGGCTCTGTGGTTTAGACCACAGCGCCACCCGTGTCCCATATATTTCTGTCTGGATGGTGACATTTCAGGCTGAAGAACTTGAGATTTATTGGAGGGGAGGTCTGAGCAAGTTTAAGGAGTGTTTGAGGCCATTCTTGCATTGCAGGGAATTAGACTAGACAACGAGGGTGTGTGATTTTAGGGGGTGAAACTTTATTTTCTGGCAAATTTCTGCTGTGAGAAAGACTTAAAAAGTATGTTTTCAGGTGTGAGGAATTCAAATCTGCTATCATTTTTGTGATTGGGCAAAAATTTGAAGAGCAACTGTACTCAACAAATTACGCTAGTCGGACTACAAGAAGTTTTGTAAGGAGAAATACATGAAATATTGCTAAGTAGAGAAAGAATAGAGATATTGATTAAGAGATTTAAATGTAATAGTGGAAGTAAGAAATGTATATTAAGTGAATAGATTGGAAAAAAATTCAGATGTGATTGACGGAAGTAAAAAAATGGTATAAGATATGAAAATATGTTTAATGATTGTTGAAAATGATACGTTGCAAAATCAATAAAAATTTATATAAATAAATAAATAAAGAATACATGTGGCCCTCTGGACCTCCCCGCCTGGCCCTCAGAACATTCCCCAGGCCACAATCCTCACTGCCTTTGCTTCACACCCTCCTCACGTGTTTTTGCCTGGCCAGGCAGGGTGCGTCTCTGAAATCTGACCCTGCCTCTCGCTCACCCGGTCAGAGAGGGCAGAGTTTGGACGTAGAAACTTCCTGTGCAATGCAAGCGTTGCTCCGCCCCCTTTTTCCTTCTGCCCCTGCCCACCACTGGTCTCCAGCACTGACTGGCAGCCGGCAGGAAGGTTTTCTCGGCGCTGCCTGGGTATTGAATTGCAGAATTGGGAGGGACCCTGAGGGTCACCTTGGTCCAACCCCCCTGCAAGGCAGGAATCTAGGCTCTGTGTGTGCTCTAACCACTGAGCCGCACAGCCTCCCCCCAAGGAAGTTGACCTCTGCTCTCCCGGCGTGGGTGACTGAAACCCTCTGCCGCCTCCGCCGCTGCCACCCCGCCCCTCTCGCCTTGAAATCCCGCTTTTCCAGCAGACAACTGGGCTAGGCTGCCGTGTCTCAACCTGTCTGAAGTATCACCCAGCGTGGAGGCGCCATGAGGGAGTGACTGAAAGCAGAAACTCTCTCTTTCTCTCTCTCTCAGGTCACCAACTCGAAATGCCCAAGAGTCATGGATCTGAAGCGCCGTTTTCTGGTTCTGCCAACGCCTCCGTTCCTCTCCGGATCCATCTTTCTTCCCCTCCTCCTCCTCGCTTGGAGACCTGCAATTTAGCAAGGAGCGACAGAAAACACAGAGGGGAAGATTTAGGACTGATAAAAGACAGGGCTTCTTCAAAGCAGCACCTAGTCAAACTGCAGAACTCCCTCTCCCTCTTTTTAACAAATATATATATATATATTGTTTATGCCTATCAAGTTTATAAAGGTAAAGGTAAAGGGACCCCTGACCATTAGGTCCAGTCGTGGCCGACTCTGGGGTTGCGGCGCTCATCTCGCTTTATTGGCCAAGGGAGCCGGCGTCCAGCTTCCGGGTCATGTGGCCAGCAGGACTAAGCCGCTTCTGGCGAACCAGAGCAGCGCACGGAAACGCCGTTTACCTTCACACCAGAGTGGTACCTATTTATCTACTTGCACTTTGATGTGCTTTTGAACTGCTAGGTTGACAAGAGCAGGGACTGAGCAACAGGAGCTCACCCCGTCGCGGGGATTCGAACCGCCGACCTTCTGATCGGCAAGTCCTAGGCTCTGTGGTTTAACCCACAGCACCACCTGTGATCAAGTTTATACATTTCACTAATTTCGCTATCATTTTAACATTTCAAAACTTCACTTCCTTCCCCCTTTTTCTACGGCCCCTTAAACTTATTTTTAATATCTTCTGCATATCCAAATTGACTTAATTTGATCATTTATGCATCTGCTTTAAATATATACGCTTCTCAAACTGCAGGTTATTGCAATAATCCTGCCAATGTTCTTATCTGTTTACAGTTTATCTGCAAATATTCAATAAGCCATTTCCATTTTTTAAAAAAGGTTATCTTGATTTCTTATTCTTATGGTAAGTTTCGCCATTTCTCCATATTCCGTAAGTTTTTGTATCCATTCTTCCTTTGCTGGGACTTCTGCTTCTTTCCATTTTGGGGCGAGTGACATTTTTGCCGCTGTAGTTGCATACAGTCACACCTTGTTTTGTGGCCAGGATCCGTTCCGGAGCCCTGGGTCGCTAGCCAAAAAGCAGTTTGCACTTCTGTGCATGTGCAAAGTGCAATTTAGCGCTTCTGCACATGCGTGAGCGGCAAACCCGGAAATAACCATTCCTGTACTTCCGGGTTTGCACAGACGTTCGCCAGAATGGACACTAGATAAGGCTGACGTTCACGGAGGTATTATGTACATGAATAAGTTTCTATACATTTTAGGGAGTTCTGTCGCTATAATTCCCAAAAGAAAAGCTTCTAAGCTTCTGGGTGTGTGTTTTTTACCAAAGTTATTTGAAACATCCTTTTCAATTCATTATATATCATTTCCCAGTAAGCTTTAACTTTACCAAAAGACCACCCCTCCCAGAACTCCCTCCCGCAGGAGGCAAGGACGACAGCCAACTTAGGTGGCTCCCGAAGAGAATTGGACCAATTCGAGGAAGGAGGAGGACGGATTTGTCGCAGAATCATAGAACTACAGAGTTAGAAGAGACCCCAAGGGCCATCTAGTCCAACCCCCGGCCCCTGCCAATGGCTGCTAGCCATTGCTTACATTCTTATGGAACCTCCCAGCCCAGTGGCAGTCTATCTGGATCCCTAAGCCAGGGGTCAGCAAACTTTTTCAGCAGGGGGCCGGTCCACTGTCCCGCAGACCTTGTGGGGGGCCGGACTATATTTTGGAAAAAAAATGAATGAATTTCTATGCCCCACAAATAACCCAGAGGTGCATTTTAAATAAAAGCACACATTCTACTCATGGAAAAACATGCTGATTCCCGGACCGTCTGTGGGCTGGATTTAGAAGGCCATTGGGCCGGATCCGGGCCCTGGGTCTTAGTTTGCCTACCCATGCCCTAAGCTCTGTCTGTCCACTGTGAGAACAGGATACAGTGGTACCTCCGGTTAAGTACTTAATTCGTTCCAGAGGTCCATTCTTAACCTGAAACTGTTCTTAACCTGAAGCACCACTTTAGCTAATGGGGCCTCCAGCTGCTGCCGCGCCGCCGGAGCACAATTTCTGTTCTTATCCTGAAGCAAAGTTCTGAACCTGAAGCACTATTTCTGGGTTAGCGGAGTCTGCAACCTGAAGCGTATGTAACCCGAGGTACCACTGCAATGAAGTAGCTGGGCCACTGGTTTGATCCAGCATGTCCGATTCGAGCTAGTTAGCACATACAGGGTTAAAAACGTGAGAGGCGATGAGCCCAGGTGTGGCCAAGCAGGTGTGCAGATGGCGATCATTTAGAAAGAAGAGCTCAGGAAGTTTAAAATAACAATAACATCCTGTCTCGGGTCAGCATCCGCATCCTCAGCTTTGGTGCCAACTAGGGTGTCACAGAATGTTTACGAAGACTCAAATAGCTCTGGGAGAATCATCTGTTGGTCCGGAGGGATGTCACAAAATGCTTAAGAACATTCCAACAGCTCCGGAGGAAGTGTTGCTCACAGGATGCTGGTGATTAGCAAAATTGCAGGGATGAATTGGGAAAACATCAGGAATGCCGGCAAGGTGGAGGGGAAATGGCACCTATCAGGAGCTCAGAAAAGCTTTCTGTCTGGGTTTGGGAAGGTGTACCTGTTTGTGCTCTCTTTCCATAGCTTACCTTTGGATATCTGCTAGCCGCTGTTGTTTGTTCACGTGAGAGATAAGAAAAACAACGCCGTCTTTCTGAATAATGGCGCCATGCCAGGCAGTTCCTCAGCCTCCCAAAGCAAGCATCACCTGCGTCGTTTTTTAAAAAGAAAGGAAGAGATCATCAGGCTGCATGCAAACGTCCATCAAATCAACAACTGCCAAGAGGGGAGGGGGATCAGATCAGACCTGTCCCAACAGAGAGAAATTGCCACCGCCTCATATTTATCTCCCCAGTGAAGAAAATAACAAGAATAACAGAATTAAAAAATTTAAGTAAATCTTTATTGGCCCAGAAATGGAAACAAGAAGAATTACTGACGAAAGAAGAATGGCAGATGAAATTAATGGGCTATGCAGAATTAGATAAGATGACAGGAAGGATTCGAAACCCGCGGGACCAGAGATTCGCAGAGGACTGGAATAAATATGTGAACTACCTGAAAAGCAATTGTAATTAACAGATCATGCTAGTAGGTTTACAAGAAGTTTTGTAAGGAGGAAAGTATGAAATATTGCAAGGAAGGTTATGAAGAGAGTTATTAGTTAAGATAATTAGAAGTAATAGTGAAATTAAGAAATGTAAATTAAGTGAAAAAGATTGGAAAAATTTCAGATGTGATTGATAGAAGTAAAAAAAAATTGTATAAGATATGAAATTGTGTTAAATGATTGCTGAAAATGATAGGTTAAAAAATTAATAAATATATATAAAAATAAGATAGTCTTTCCAGCTAAAATAAATAAATAAATGTAAGTAAATCAGCATGGGTATGATTTCCCAGCTGTGAAGAACCTCCATACTATTGCCTTGGCTGAAAGATTAAAAATAAATAAATACCTAGCAGCTGCCCTATGGGAGAATCCTTCTCCGCCCCAGCTATTGACTGACATGCTGTGATGTCACAGAATGTTCACAAACATTCCAACGACAGGGAGGGAAGGAAGGGCGAGGTGTGGAATGTTGTCAGGGGTCAGGAGAGCCATGAAAAGATGTACAGGCAAACTCGTCGTTTGGCTGGTGCCAATTAATTGCTTGGGTAATTGTGAAAGCTCTGCGGACAGTTGTACGCTTTAAATGCACATTGTGTCTTGTGTTGCAAACCCCTAAATTTGTTTCCCTGGGGGCGGGGCAGGGAGCTGCGGGGGTTGCAGTGACCCCCCGCAACGGGTCACGCAAGCAGATAATCAATAGCAACCGACCCACCTCGCAGAGTCGTCGCAAGGATCACAACCGACAACCTCTCCGGCAAAGGTCTTGTGCAAACGCAAGTTATAATCCGGACATTTTCTTGCAGGGGGGAAAGTCAACCCTCCTGATTAAAAAGCAGAGTTTGCTCCGCTGCCCCTTCTGGAATCGCAACGAGGTGACCTCTTTCCACCAGCAAAAAACACACAAACACACACACCAAGCAGTTTGCTCAGAAAGCACACAGATAAATAAATTTTGCATATTAGCCAGGGCCATAAACATCGCTACCACCCCCAAATCTGCGAGGCTGAGTCTTAAGTGAATTTTTATGGCCAACATTATCAACCCCCCAAGGATACCAACATGGAGGAGAAGCTGACTCCTTCTCCTGAACACTGCCAATTATCTGCCGGCGCATTAGGGAAAAGGGGGCAGGAAGAAAAACAGGGTCTTTATGCTGTTTTCTTTTGCGTCGGGTGGAAAACCACCAGGACAGAGTCCCGTGCCCCGGATGTTTCCATCAATATTCATGGCTATGACATACAGGTCACCAACTCTGCAAAGGAAAGCATTCTGGCATCTGGAATTAACACACCTCTTTTGCGTGTGTAGGGACGTGGGTGGTGCTGTGGGTTAAACCACATAGCTTAGGACTTGCCGATCAGAAGGTCAGCGGTTCGAATCCCCGCGATGGGGTGAGCTCCCGTTGCTCGGTCCCTGCTCCTGCCAACCTAGCAGTTCAAAAGCACCTCAAAGTGCAAGTATATAAATAGGTACCGCTCTGGCGGGAAGGTAAATGGCGTTTCTGTGCGCTGCTCTGGTTCGCCAGAAGCAGCTTAGTCCTGCTGGCCACATGACCTGGAAGCTGTACGCCGGCTCCCTCAGCCAATAAAGCGAGATGAGTGCCACAACCCCAGAGTCGGTCACGACTGGACCTAATGGTCAGGGGTCCCTTTACCTTTACCTTTGCATGTGTAGGGGATCTTTCTCAGTTCCTCAAATGTTGGGCACGCAGGGCTGCCCCCTCGCGGCCGAACCAGGAGCTGCCAAACACAGCAGCTTGGCCAACTGCTCGCCAGGGACCACTGGCAGCTGATTAGCTGCCGGAGTCCTGTCAAGGTGGTGGTACCGGAAAGGGCCGCCCGCTCACATGGCACGGTGTGGCAGTTGCCTCAGGCAGCAGACTGGGGGCAACCAGGAGGAGTGGCAAATAGGGCCCTCGTATTTATGGGACCGCCTCTCCTGGTCTGCCCCGCAGAGGACATTAAGGTCCAAGAATAACCATAGCTTAGAGGTCCTGGGCCCTAAGGAAGTCAGACTATCCTCCACCAGGGCCAGGGCCTTTCAGTGATGGCTCCAACCTGGTAGAATGCTCTGTCCCATGAGACCAGGACCCTGCAGAATTTAACTTCCTTCCACAGGGCCTGTGTTGTTGTTTAGTTGTTTAGTCGTATCCGACTCTTTGTGACCTCCTGGACCAGAGCACGCCAGGCACTCCTGTCTTCCACTGCCTCCCACAACTTGGTCAAACTCATGCTGGTAGCTTCGAGAACACTGTCCAACCATCTCGTCCTCTGTCGTCCCCTTCTCCTTGTGCCCTCCATCTTTCCCAACATCAGGGTCTTTTCCAGGGAGTCTTCTCTTCTCATGAGGTGGCCAAAGTCTTGGAGCCTCAGCTTCACAATCTGTCCTTCCAGTGAGCACTCAGGGCTGATTTCCTTCAGAATGGAGAGGTTTGATCTTCTTGCAGTCCATGGGACTCTCAAGAGTCTCCTCCAGCACCAGAATTCAAAAGCATCCATTCTTCGGCAATCAGCCTTCTTTATGGTCCAGCTCTCACTTCCGCACATCACTACTGGGAAAACCATGGCTTTAACTATACGGACCTTTGTTGGACAAAGCTATTCCACCTGGCCTTTAATTTGAATTCAGCCTGATCTCCTATTTCCCTTCTCTTCCCTCCCCCTCCCCTTTTATGAAGATCACCCGCTCTGAGACCCCACAGCTAATTCTCCCCTGGCCTCCTCGCTGGCCCAAGTAGGACCAATTCAGCCAGCTAGCCCTGGGGATTATCTAATGCTTATTTCCCCTAAATTGATTCTGAATTTTGAATTTTATTGTTATTCATGTTTTTATACTGTTTTTATGCTGCTTTTACAATTAAGTGTTTTAAATTTGTTGTTAGCTGCCCGGTTTTTGAACCGGGAAGGGCGGGGTATAAATAACAAATTATTATTATTATTATTATTATTATTATTATTATTATTATTATTAACCCCAAGCAGAGGACCACTAAGCGCAAGAGACAAGGGACGCTCGCCACTGCCTGCTCCTCTCTGGCCTCCTTCTTCCCCCAAAACTTTCAGTGCTTCTCTGGGCTGCATCCAGTCCACTTGGACGGAGGCGGTGGTTAGGATCAGAAGGTTGGAGGTTCGAACCCACCCCGGAGCAGATTGGCAGAATTCCTGCATTGCAGGGGGTTCGGCTGGAAGACCCCTGGGGTCCCTTCCAACTCAACAATTATATGATTCCGTGAAATGAGGAGAGGGAGAACAGTGCTTCTTTTTCTTCTTCTTCTTTGGCGATCCCTCATAGCCAAGGAAGATTGTTTTCCATGAACATAGTCTTAACAGTAAGCCCGTAGGTGACTGTGGAGGCCGATTCTGGATCCACACGTCCTTCCACAGTGGGGACATAGGTTTCCGGGCAGGAGTTGAACATGGTGTGGATTTGCCAAGCCTGCCTTCCTCTTAGCATGTTTCTCCCTTTCGTCCTGAGTTCGAGTGTCTTCAAAGCCCATGACACCTTTGGTAAAGGCTGCTCTCCAACTGGAGCGCTCACAAGCCAGTGTTTCCCAGTTGTCGGTGTTTATACTACATTTTTAAAGATTTGCCTTGAGAGAGTCTTTAAACCTCTTTTGTTGACCACCAGCATTACGCTTTCCATTTTAAAGTTCAGAATAGAGGAGTTGCTTTGCAAGACGATAATCAAGCATCCGCACAACATGGCCAGTCCAACGAAGTTGATGTTGAAGAATCATTGCTTCAACACTTGTGATCTTTGCTTCTTCTAGTACACTGGCATTAGTTCGCCTGTCTTCCCAAGTGATGTGTAAATTTTTTCGGAGGCACCGTTGATGGAATCTTCCGAGGAGTTGGAGATGGTGTTTATAAGTGGTCCATGTTTCACGTGCATACAGTAAGTTTGGTATTACAATAGAGAACAATGCAGGCCACTTTGAGCCACTTGGAGTGCTTTATATACATTATTTACACAATGGGCTGCACGTGATTGGCTAATTCCGGAATTCTCCTGTAGGCCAATCAGATTGTGGACTCACTTCCATCTGGAGCTGGATTGGGTGGCTCCTGCAGACCAATCATACTGCTGCATTGTTCTAGGACCAATCAGACTGCTGCATTTTGGATCCTATTCAACTCAGTACAAAACATGGAGGAAAAAGGGATATGGATATATTTGCAGCAAAAGCAAATAAGCCATTGCCAAAGCACACCTTGCCAGTCTGTTGGTCTTGCTCTTTCTCAAAAAAGGAAGATTAGCAGTGACAAGATCCACCGAAGGCACAAAGGGGAAACAGGTCACCCTGGAAAAACAGGCTTTGCTTCTGTACACAACGTGTCTGACTCAGGAGAGGTGCAGCACATGACCGGCGACCATAATTATTGTTTATCCAGACGCCTGCCCAGTGATCACACTCAAAGATCCATGGAGGGGACTGAGCAAAGATTATTATTATGATATATTATGTATTATATTAATATATTGTTTTAAATAGTAGGAGTAGTAGTAGTCAATTACAAACCTAGACAGCATCTTAAAAAGCAGAGACATCACCTTGACAACAAAGGGACGTATAGTTAAAGCCATGGTTTTCCCAGTAGTGATGTATGGAAGTGAAAGCTGGACCATCAAGAAGGCTGATCGCCAAAGAATGGATGCTTTTGAATTCTGGTGCTGGAGGAGACTCTGGAGAGTCCCATGGACTGCAAGAAGATCAAACCTCTCCATTGTTAAGGACATCAGCCCTGAGCGCTCACTGGAAGGACAGATCCTGAAGCTGAGGCTCCAAGACTTTGGCCACCTCATAAGAAGAGAAGACTCCCTGGAAAAGACCCTGATGTTGGGAAAGATGGAGGGCACAAGGAGAAGGGGACGACAGAGGATGAGATGGTGGGACAGTGTTCTCGAAGCTACCAGCATGAGTTTGACCAAACTGCGGGAGGCAGTGGAAGACAGGAGGGCCTGGCGTGCTCTGGTCCAGGGGGTCACGAAGAGTCGGACACGACTAAACGACTAAACAAGTAGTAGTAGTAGTAGATATGACTATTTATACCCTGTCTTTTTCCCTGACGGGAACCAATGCAGCTTCCAGATAGATAGAGCACAAGACTCTTAATCTCAGGGTTGTGGGTTCGAGACACACATCGGGCAAAAGGTTCTTTCCAATGCTACAATTCTGTGATTCTATGAAAACATAGGAAACCCAATCCTTGCAATACCATGAAACATCCATAGGATTAAAACTATGCACATCACTTTGCTGGCAGTGTTTGCCGATGGATCTGGTTGGCCGCTGTAGAAGCAAGGAGGCGGATTGGAACGGCCTTTGGTCTGATCCACCGGAGCTCCTTCTTACGTTGCTTTTTTTAAAGGGAGATTGGGCATACGAAGAGCCCAAAGGGGGTCATCATTGCAGGGGGTTGGACTCCATGGGATGGGGGACCACATGTTGAGATTCCTGCATTGCAGGGGGTTGGACTAGATGGCCACCGGGGTCCCTTCCAAGTCTAGGATTCTGTAATTCCAGTCCTCCTCCCATAGCGGCCAGCCAACTGCAAGCAGGGTGCAAGAATGTTCTCCCTTCCTGTGGTTTCCAGCAATGGGTATTCCATAGAATCGTAGAATTGTTGACTTGGTGTGATGGCCTGGGACTCGGGCTCGGACTCAGAACCAGAGGAGACTCAGTCTGCACCGAATCCTTTGCCTCAGGCATCACCTGAACCAAGTCTGGGACCTGATCCTGAAGAATCTGCACAGGTTCCCCTGCAACAAGCACCCAGCTAGGCCGAGTCAGGGGCCTGAGCCTGCCCTGGCTCCAGATGCGGGGATGACCTCGTTGCCTCCAGCTGGGCCATCGCTTACAGCTGCTCCACTACCGGTTGGGTCAGGGGAGGCTGAGGCGGCCCCTGGGTCTAGTAACCCACCGATGTCTCCCGAGATGCAGAGACTAAGGTCTGAGAGAAGGAGAGACCTGAGTTCTCGCAGGAGGAGTGCTCGCCTTCGGGCGAAACAGGGAGGTGAGTCGCCGGGGGATCAGGACCAGCTGCTACCCCGACAGAGATAAAAGGCTGTCGGACCCCGTCCCAGGTTGCGGGAGCAACGTTGCTGTTTGCCAGATCCTGCCTGAGATCCTGTACCTGTCCTTGCCTGGTTTCCTGCCTCGTGTCCTGGCTTGGCCCTGTCGGACTGACTCCTAGCGGAACCTTCAAATTCTGGACCAGTCCTTACCCCCGGGCCCAGCACAGTTGGAAAGGGACCCCAGGGGTCATCTAGTCCATGCAGGTCCTCCCCCACCTCCCCATTTCAATCCATGCTGGGCTCTGCTTAGCTCTGCAAATGTGTTTGGCAGTTTTCCTTCTGTGTGCCACTCATGCACACCTATTAAACGGCACACACACGAGAGGCAGAATCCACCCACCAGGTAGCCATGTAACTGTTGGCAAGCAACCAAGGAAACGGGGGCAACTGGCAGGCCCCCATCTGGCCCCAACCCAGCGGCCGGTGTGCCGGGCGAACTCCAGTCCTTGGTGCCGCATGAATCTGCGCCCTGAGCTTCAAAAGCTGGGGCACGCTACTCAGCAGAGTAAACGCTGTGCAAACGGAAGTGGCAGGAGAGGCTGTGTGAGCATATTTACGAGCAGTTTATTCAGCGTACAGCAGGACAAAAGGAAACATGTCTGACCTCCTTCGTGTCCAAAGCAAAACGGCAAAAGCAAAAGCTGTACCCAAACGGAAGTTCCCAGCAAGCTGTGCTGGAGTGTAAACAGGCACGTGACACACAACAATCATGCCTGTTCCTTGAGGTGGAACGGAATATCCTAACAGCAACTTCTTGAGATCTGGAAGGAGCTAAACTCTGAAGGACAACAAGGCCTGTAAATGGGTGGGGCAGTGGAGTAGGAATATAAGAAGCTGCCTTAAACCCCTGGCCAGACCACTGGTCCCTCTCGCCCAGGAATCACAGAATCTTAGAACTGTAGAGCTGGGAAGATCATCTAGTGCCAGACATGGCCAAACTTGGCCCTCCAGCTGTTTGGGGACTACAGTTCCCATCATCCCTGACCACTGGTCCTGTTAGCTAGGGGTGATGAGAGTTGTAGTCCCAAAACAACTGGAAGTGTTTGCCTATGCCTGGGCTCGACCTCCAGGTCTGCCCTGAAGCCTCCAGGTTTTCGTGGCAGGTGGAGGGCCTGAGTTTTCAGGCGGGTGAAGGAGCCTCTCGTGGTAAAAAGAAAAATAAGCAACAACCATGACTGTTGATGCAGCTTGAAAGCTTCAGCCCGGCAGAAGCGGTCTGCAAATTCTCACGTAGACACTCGGGGTGGGGGTCTTCCTTCTTCTGCCCCCCTCTCCTAATTGATCTCCACCTCCAGGGTTTGCCTCTGTGCCATCCCATGGCATAGATAGCCCATGAGCTTGCGTGCCCTCCAACATTTCTCTGATGAACACCTAGGGCACCCTTTCCCACCTCCTCCGACATTTCTCCAATGAAAATAGGGGTGTCCTGTTGGGGAAAAGCAGGACAGTCCGGGATCAAATCAGAAACCTAGAATCATAGAGTTGGAATAGACCACAAGGGCCATCGAGTCCAACCCCCTGCCAGGCAGGAAACACCATCAGAGCACTCCTGACATATGGTTGTCAAGCCTCTGCTTAAAGACCTCCAAAGAAGGAGACTCCACCACACTCCTTGGCAGCAAATTCCACTGTCCAACAGCTCTTACTGTCAGGAAGTTCTTCCTAATGTTTAGGTGGAATCTTCTTTCTTGTAGTTTGGATCCATTGCTCCGTGTCCGCTTCTCTGGAGCAGCAGAAAACAACCTCTCTCCCTCCTCTATGTGACATCCTTTTATATATTTGAACATGGCTATCATATCACCCCTTAACCTCCTCTTCTCCAGGCTAAACATGCCCAGCTCCCTTAGCCGTTCCTCATAAGGCATCGTTTCCAGGCCCTTGACCATTTTGGTTGCCCTCCTCTGGACCTAGATGGCTTCTGTTATTCCCGGACCATCCCTGGAAAATAGGGACATTTGGAGAGTCTCAGCTTGCCCCTGGCAATATGACCGTGGCAGCCCTTGGAGACGGAGGTTAATTGGGTAGTTGGGTAGTAGCAAAGGGCAGGACTAGCCCCCCCCCCCTGTTTCTCATATATATAGCCCAACCCCCTTCAATGCAGCTGTCCCAAGCAGGTATCGAACATGCAACCTTGGCGTTCATCGGCAGCACGCTCTAACCAACTGGCTTACCTGGAGATGGCAGAGGGTTAACCTGGGACCTTCTGAGTACACGGCAGATGTCCTACCATTCATCTACGGCCTTTCCCCTAAAAATAGAAAGAGAGATTCTGGTCCTCTAGGTTCCGGATCAGGGCCTGATTTAAACAGAAACACAGGAAGCTGCCTTATATCACGGCAAACCGTGGTCCGGTTACCTCTGTAGTACCGCCTGCCCCAAGATTGGGTCACCGGTTGCCCTCCAGATGTTGCCGTCCTCCAAATCCTATCAGGCTCAGCCGACATGGCCAGCGGCGGCGGACAATAGGAACTGTGGCTTAAGAGGACATACCCAACACATGGCAGAATTCCCCCTCCCAAGTCACAGGTGACCCTGCGATCCTAACCGCATCTACTCAGAAGTAAGACCTGGTGACAATTTTCGATGGTGCTTACTCCGAAGGTAAGTGAGGTTAGGTTTACAGTGTGGGTACTCATCTTTTTATTATCATTATTGTTTATTAAATTTGTAAACCACCTATACCCGTAGATCTCAGGGCAGTCCACGTCATAAAAATTGCAGTTTCCTGATTATAATGCTGGTGCTTCATGTTGTGCAGCTGTGGGTTTTGGGGCTGATATGCCAGCATGCCAAGCTAAATTTCGTCTACACGGTATGACACAACAGGAATGCCATCAGACCACGTCGCCATTATCCCACCCTCTTGGCCCATGTGTGCTTCCTTTGCCCCATGAGTCTGCCACAGAAACAGCGGGAAAGAACCATAGGCCAGCAAGGTAAAGGTAAAGGGACCCCTGACCATTAGGTCCACTGGTGGCTGACTCTGGGGTTGCGGCGCTCATCTCGCTTTATTGGCCGAGGGAGCCAGCGTACAGCTTCTGGGTCATGTGCCCAGCATGACTAAGCCGCTTCTGGCGAACCAGAGCAGTGCACGGAAACGCCGTTTACCTTCCCGCCGGAGCGGTACCTATTTATCTACTTGCACTTTGACATGCTTTTGAACTGCTAGGTTGGCAGGAGCATGGACTGATCAACGGGAGCTCAACCCATCGTGGGGATTCGAACTGACGACCTTCTGATCGGCAAGTCCTAGGCTCTGTGGTTTAGACCACAGCGCCACCCACGTCCCAGTATAGGCCAGTATATTGCCCCAAATTTCACCGCTTTGCCCCTGCAATTTTCCACGTTAAAGGTGCTGCAAGGAGTTGTGGGTTTTTTTTCTGGGATCAAGTAACACAGAAATGAGCTCGAATCATGGGCTATATTCCTTTAGTTTCCCCAGAAGTGACTTCTACATCGTACAAACACATCGACTGTAACACAGAAATCAACAGTTAGGGAAATGCCAGGGAAATGAAATGAACGGCCATGTGAAGGCAGCCCGAATTCCATTTACCTGTGAGCAAGGTTCATTGAACTCAACAGGACCTACTTCTGAGAAGACATGGTTAGGACCGCGCAGGTAAATGTGGATTTATCCAACCAGTTTCTACCCAGACAGGGTCCACCCATTGAAAGGAATGGATCTAAACCAGCGGTGCCCAGTCATTCCGATGGGTCTACTCCAAGCAGGTCTCACTGTTAGCAACAAAGGCGGTGGTGTGGCTATTCTAAGGTTTTGAGCAGAGAGCTGGAAGTTTTTGTCCAGATCTAAGCATACTGATCCGTTCTGGTTTCCAAGGATACCTCTAGGACTCCAGGTTTAGTGGTACTGGCACATTCAAAGGCACCCTTCATTTATCAACTAGAGAAGCTATCATCATCCTCGCATGTGGTGTGATTGCATTATTGGGAGGTATATGCACATGAAAGGTAAAGGGACCCCTGACTATTAGGTCCAGTCGCGGACGACTCTGGGGTTGTGGCGCTCATCTCGCTTTATTGGCCGAGGGAGCCGGCGTGCAGCTTCCGGGTCATGTGGCCAGCAGGACTAAGCCGGTTCTGGCGAACCAGAGCAGCGCATGGAAACGCCGTTTACCTTCCCGCCGGAGTGGTACCTATTTATCTACTTGCACTTTGACGTGCTTTCGAACTGCTAGGTTGGGGGCAGCAACGGGAGCTCACCCTGTTGCGGGGATTCATAGAATCATAGAATCCTAGAGTTGGAAGAGACCACAAGGGCCATCGAGTCCAACCCCCTGCCAAGCAGGAAACACCATCAGAGCACTCCTGACATATGGTTGTCAAGCCTCTGCTTAAAGACCTCCAAAGAAGGAGACTCCACCACACTCCTTGGCAGCAAATTCCACTGTCAAACAGCTCTTACTGTCAGGAAGTTCTTCCTAATGTGTAGGTGGAATCTTCTTTCTTGTAGTTTGGATCCATTGCTCCGTGTCCGCTTCTCTGGAGCAGCAGAAAACAACCTTTCTCCCTCCTCTATGTGACATCCTTTTATATATTTGAACATGGCTATATATTTGAACATGGATTCGAACCACCAACCTTCTGATCAGCAAGTCCTAGGCTCTGTGGTTTAACCCACAGCGCCACCCACGTGCTTGAATATGCAGTAGTAGATGTTTAAAATGGTCAGGGGTCCCTTTACCTTTTTACTGCATATTCATCCATTCTCCAATTTCTATATCCAAACATATTATCCATGGTCATTTTTACACTACAAGTGAAATCAAAATCCTGCTTTTGTTTCCATCTGCTTACAGCGGTCTCCTAAATAACTTATAAATTACAGTGGTACCTCGGGTTACAGACGCTTCAGGTTACAGACTCCGCTAACCCAGAAATAGTGCTTCAGGTTAAGAACTTTACTTCAGGATGAGAACAGAAATTGTGCAGCGGCAGCAGCTGGAGGCCCCATTAGCTAAAGTGGTGCTTCAGGTTAAGAACAGTTTCAGGTTCAGAACGGACCTCCAGAACTAATTAAGTACTTAACCCGAGGTATCACTGTATTCCCATTCTTTTATCAAGTTTTTGTCCTCTTGGTTTCTGAGTTTTCCAGTCGGCTTTGCCATCTCGGCACAGTCCGTCAGCTTGGTTCGCCATGGGCAGGGGTCCCTCTCGGACTTACTCAGGGGTTGAAACCGGGAACCTCCATCTCCCTAAAACAGCCCTTCTCAACCTGTGGGTCCCCAGATGTTGTTGAACTACAACTCCCATCACCCCTAGCTAGCAAGGCTGGAGCTCAGGGATGATGGGAGTTGTAGTCCATCAACAACATCTGGCGACCCACAGGTTGAGAACCGCTGCCCTAAAAGCAGATGCTCTCCCACTCAACTACATCTCAGCCCAAGAGACAGCCGCTGCGATTTCCTTGCATTGCCAGGGGTTGGTCTGTATGACCTTTGGGGGTCCCTTCCAACTCTACAGCTCCCCAAACAAACCCAAACTTCCTAAGCACCTGGCTAAGCTTGGCTGAGGAGCGATACCCAGGGCACCCACCTCTTGTCGCTGATGAGCAGGAGGACGGACCCGTTCTGGATTTTGGCCTCCTTCACCGTCTCGTGCTCCTCAATCACCCGGGCGTTGTAGAAGAAGGTCTTCTTCCACGAGGTCACCCCTTCCCGCACCAGGTGAGCCCTCAGGTCCATCATGGTGTCGGTGGGCCTCACCGTCAGAGGCAGCAGGAGGTCCTCGTCGGCCAGGTGGACCTTGATGTGGTACTTCTTCCACCGGGACAGGCTCCTCCGCAGGGTCTCCATCCCCTCCGGCTCAGTGAGAGAGGCAGGCGAGAGAGAGGCCAGCGAAAGCATGAAGCCGAGAGCAGGGAGACCAGGGAGGTTTCGGAAAGGGAACGCCAGCCTGCCAAGCTGGACAAACCGGTCCCGGCCCGAGCCCGTCAGGTGGCATGTTTCGCATTCCAAGGAAGATCTCGCCCTGTCTCCTGTCCCAAGGAGTGCAGAGGCAGAGATCAGGGGATTGGCGTACGATATGGGGAGGCCTATCACCGCCACTTATTTCATAGAATCGCAGCATCGCAGAATGGGAAGGGACCAGCCCACCCCCCTGAAAAGCAAAGGTTTTTCTTTCTTTTTTCACAATAATATTTATTATTTTCCATACATAAACACAGCAAAAGAAAAGATTGGCAATAATAAAGGGAAAAGAAAGAAATTGAAAAAAAAGAATAAATAGAACAAATAATCACGACAATAACACTTAATTGATTAATTAAAATCCATCTTCATAAACATATTATTTGACTTCCTCAAATCTTTTCCATCTGAATTTCTCAGTAATTATATGTAGCAGTTTCCAATATCATTATTTCATAAACCAATACCAAAGTCATAATATTTCCTAACTTTTCTTATTGTACATTTTCTTATTTATTGATTTAATCCCAATTTAGTCCTAGGCCTAATTGCTTCTTTCAAGTGATTACATATCTTTAATATTACAATATTTATTCAGATAGTCTTTAAATTTCTTCCAGCCTCCTTGGTATTCCTCTTCTTTCTGGTCGCGGATTCTCCCAGTGAGATCAGCCAGCTCCATAAACTCCATCATCTTCATCTGCCATTCTTCTACCGATGGTAGTTCTTGTGCTTTCCATTTTTTGGCTAGTAAAATACGTGCAGCAGTTGTGGCATACAAAAATACTTTTACATCTTTTTTGGGCTATTCAGAACCTGTTATTCCAAGGAGAAAGGCCTCTGGTTTCTTCATAAAAGTATATTCCATCATTTTTTTTTAATTCATTATAATTTTTTCCCCAGAAGTCTTTAACCTTGGAGCAAGTCCACCACATATGATAGAAAGTACCTTCTTTTTCTTTACATTTCCAACATAAATTATCACAATTGTGGTAGATCTTCACCAATTTAACAGGAGTTAAGTACCATCTATACATCATTTTCATAACATTCTCCTTTAACATTGTACATGCAGTAAACTTAACCCCTTTCTTCCAAAGCCTCTCCCAATCCTGAAAAACAAAGGTTTTTCACCCAACTTGTGGCTTGAAGCCACAGCCCTGAGATTAAGAGTCTCTGCTCCACCTCAGAGCTTTCCAAACTTTTCGTGCTGGCGATGCACTTTTTTATTTCCTTTTTATTAATTTTTCTGTTTTACATTTCAGAATATTCATTTAGACAACCTTAAAATGTCAATGGCTTCCCTCCATCTCTTTCCATAGTTCGTTCTGCATAACATAAAGCCCTGCATATTTTACAGAAACTATACCATTCAGTATTCCATTATTGCATCCATCATAACTTATTTACACAGTTGAATTTATCTTAATGCTGCCAGCGTTTTCAGCTGTACACAGTTATTTCCCATATGTTCGATAAACATTTTCCAACCTTCTCTAAAGGGACGCGGGTGGCGCTGTGGGTTAAACCACAGAGCCTAGGACTTGCCGATCGGAAGGTTGGCGGTTCGAATCCCCGTGACGGGGTGAGCTCCCGTTGCTCGGTCCTTGCTCCTGCCAACCTAGCAGTTCGAAAGCACGTCAAAGTGCAAGTAGATAAATAGGTACTGCTCTGGCGGGAAGGTAAACGGCATTTCCGTGCACTGCTCTGGTTCGCCAGAAGCGGCTTAGTCCTGCTGGCCACATGACCCGGAAGCTGTACGCCGTCTCCCTCGGCCAATAAAGCGAGATGAGCGCTGCAACCCCAGAGTCGGTCACGACTGGACCTAATGGTCAGGGGTCCCTTTACCTTTATCCTTCTCTAAACGTATGTTCTTCTTGTTCGCTTATTCTATATGTTAAGTCTGCAAGCTGCACGTATTCCATCAACTATAGGTGCCATTCTTCTTTGGTTGGGACCTCGCTCCTTTTCCATTTGGGGGGGCTAACAAAACACGGGCCGCAGTAGTAGCACACATAAATAACCTTTTCTGACACCTGGGAATTTCAGCCTGAATTATCCCCAACAGAAAGGACTCTGGGTTTGGGGGGGGGGGTTGGGGGGTGAAAAGTACTACTTTTCAACATATTTTCCAATTCATTATGAATTATTCCCAATACCCTTTTACCCTTTTACAAGTCCACCAAAAGCAAAGATATTTCACCCAACTCGGGGTTTGAACCCACAACCCTGAGATTAAGAGTCTCTCCTCTACTGCAGAGCTTCCCCAACTTATCACATTGGTGACACACTTTTTTAAAGACATGCATCATTTTGCAACACGGTAATTCGGAGACATCACCTTGCCAACAAAGGTCTGTATAGTTAAAGCTATGGTTTTCCCAGTAGTGATGTATGGAAGTGAGAGCTGGACCATAAAGAAGGCTGATCGCCAAAGAATGGATGCTTTTGAATTCTGGTGCTGGAGGAGACTCTTGAGAGTCCCATAGACTGCAAGAAGATCAAACCTCTCCATTCTGAAGGAAATCAGCCCTGAGTGCTCACTGGAAGGACAGATCCTGAAGCTGAGGCTCCATGACTTTGGCCACCTCATGAGAAGAGAAGACTCCCTAGAAAAGACCCTGATGTTGGGAAAGATGGAGGGCACAAGGAGAAGGGGATGACAGAGGACGAGATGGTGGGACACTGTTCTCGAAGCTACCAGCATGAGTTTGACCAAACTGCGGGAGGCAGTGGAAGACAGGAGTGCCTGGCTTGCTCTGGTCCATGGGGTCACGAAGAGTCGGACACGACTAAACAACTAAACAACAACAACAACAACAACAACAATTCAGTTTTACAAGCACACCGGAGGTTAAACTAATCCCTTATAAGAGATAAGGACACATATCGCTTGACATACCTGCACACTGCAGCCGACACACTAAGGTGTCGCGATGCACAGTTTGCAAAGCTCTGCTCTGCTGACTGAGCTACCAGGCCGAGCGCAGGAATGCAGAGCCTGTCACTATAATCATTTATTTCATACAATCATAGAACAGTAGAGCTGGAAGGGTTCCAGGGGTCATCTAGTCCAACCCCCTGCAGTGCAGGAGTGACAGCTAAAATATCGCTGACGGATGGCTGTCCAACCAGTGAAGGAGGGTTCGCCACCTTCCAATGGAGTCCGTTCCACTGTTGAACAGCTCTTGCCCTCAGAAAGTTCTTCCTGAATTTAAGGAATATTCAAAAAAAAAAATGTTAATATTTAAATCTTAGAATAGCTTTGGAAGTGGATATAGGCTGTAGAGTTAGAAGTAGAAGATAGTGTATTTTAAAATAGTATTATTTGCAAGTGATAAGATGTGGAGATTTTTATGGTTAAAGTAAGCGTGATTTTAAAAACATGGTTAGTAATTATGATATATGTAAACTGCTAAAGATGAGGTAAAATGAAAATCAGATAGGGGGGACTTGGGGAAGCCCACCTAACAATGTTTTAAAAAAAATAAGGACAAGACAAGAATTTGTTTGTATTGGTTTGTTTTTCTGTTTGTGTTGTTTATTTGTGTTATAAAATGAATATTTTTTGGGGGAAAAAACAACAACAGAAAGTTCTTCCTGATGTTGAATCAGAATCTCCTTTCATCTATTTTGAATCTAATGGGTTTGAGATGTTATTCTCACAACAACCCTGTGAGGTGGGCTAAGCTGAGACTGACTCCAAAATTACCCTGTGAGCTTCAGGACCAATTGGGATTTGAACCCAGGTCTCTCCCAAGTCCTAGACTCTAACCACTGCATCACACTGTATTTAGAGCTGACCCGATTGAAATGAATCGGACTAACTTACTCTGTGGGTTTTACTCTGAGGAAAACTTAGCTGGATAACGACGCAGAGGATCTGTAGTTGCAAGTGGCAAAAATTGGGAAGCAAACGCAATCCCCGTAATATTTCACAGGCACCAAACGCAGTAGGCGAAATAATCTGTTCTCTTCATCAAGGGCGAAACCTTTGGGATAAACAGACTCCCAGCTAAAGCTACAACAATACAAAGATAGATTTCTGAACATTCTCAGCTGTTCTTCAGCAGCGAGGCTGTGAAAGGAAGGGCGCCCTTGTTTTACGCTGAGAAGGCTTGTTTTAGTTTGGCTGCGCTTCTGAAATATGCAACAAACACAGAGGAACTGTTAAAAGAGGTTGCCGTTTTCCCTTCAGGTAAGAAACCCAGGTTTCTGAAAGCATCTCCAAAAGGCACCTCCACAGAGGTGCATATTTTTGTCATTGATTTGCTTTACACTGTGCCGCCAATGTAGACAGGACATGTAGGCAGGGCTCTGCACCCAAGGAGCTTACAAATTAAGACAAGACAGCAGAGAAACAGAAGGAGGGAGGCGAAATGCGAAGCTGACTGCAGGTTTGTGGGTGTTCTGGGCAAAGTGTCTTCAGATAGCTCTTTGTAGGCCTGGTGGAGACTAAGAACATAAGATTAGCCTGTTGGATCAAGCCAATGGCTAGGGATGGACTGCCCACCCATGAGGCAAGTTGAGACGACCGCCTTAGGCAGCACCTCAGAAGAGAAGCAAGAGATAAAGCCAGTGGCGGTCAGAGGGTCGGACGAGGACCTGGAGAACTGGGTTCAAATCCTCCACTCAGGCATGAATCTCACTCTCAGCTTAAACTATGCCGCAGCTTTGTTGTGGGGATTGAATGAGGAGAAGGAGAACCACTTACACCCCATTGAGCTCCTTGGAGGAAAGGAGGGAGGCATTAATGCAATAAGTGAATAACTAAAAGGTAAAGGTAAAGGGACCCCTGACCGTTAGGTCCAGTCGTGGCCGACTCTGGGGTTGCGGCGCTCATCTCCCTTATTGGCTGAGGGAGCCGGCGTACAGCTTCCGGGTCATGTGG